CTTCAGCAGTTGATAGGATCGTGGGGGACCTGGGACCTGCTCTGAATCGCGCGCGTTGAACGGAGCGTCATGTTTTCTAGAAGAGTAGCGTAGACAGAGGGACTGGCGGAAATGGGAAAGAGAAAAAATATGTTTTTATCACAAGTGTTAGTAATGTCGCAATCTGATTGGCCAATTTTTAATTGTGGATGAGACTACAGACAACGCTGCTCGCGTCAACTTGTCACGCAACGTGTCATGCAATGAAAGAATCGTTTCAATTCATGTCGATATTGTGGTTAAAAACAAATTGACAGCGGTTTAGCGTAATCTGCACTGTTATCAACTGCACCTCGTCAGTCCACATCATTTTGACCACTGAGATGAGGAATATCGTTGTCAATAAGAGTAAAGACCATGCTACACCACTGTCGATTTGTTAAATTTTTTTGTAGCCATTTCCTTGCTGATGTGTGTTTTTTGCTCTGAGGATTATCTTCCTTAGCCATAAATTGTAAATTTCGGCCATCAGTTAAAGATGAATGTGTATTTCATGCAAACGGATACAATTCCTGTAGTAACTTCTGACAGCAAAGCACTCATGAGTGGCAGTATACCTCAGTGACCATGGCCAGCCCAAGGAGAAACCAGATGACACACACAAAAGCTGTGAACATTTCTTTGCGGTAGCCTCTTCGCAGGTATCGAGGATACAGATCAACGACGGCGGTCACAACACCTTCAATACCTACAAACTTAATTCACGAAGTAATTAAAAATCAGTGCTTGCGGACTCCAGACGAAAAGTACTGGGAACAAGGTATGGATGAAACTGTGTGCGGTTGGTATTCTTTAATTAAGGAGATTTTGAAGCGAAATTTCTCTTGCATTATATATCCCTTAGTTAAGAAAAAGGTTATCAAAGACCCTGGTTAAAAAAAATGTTAACTTTTTTACACAGCCCCAGCAGCCAGTATTCATTTATGTCTTTACCTCGCTATCCAGGCCCAGTAAAATTACCATGAAGAAAAACAAAGCAGACCACAAAGGAGATAGAGGCATCTGAGCTACAGCTTCCGGATAAACTACAAAGGCCAGTCCAGGACCTAAAGGGCAAGCAACAGAAGTTCAATGCCTTTTCGTGCGCGTGTCATTTTACATGTTGAGCGTGTCATATGGCACACTATTTGAAACAAGTTTAAGTTTAAGATTCGCCGAGAGGCAGGGACACCGCAACAGCTTGCGCCAATTACTGCGAG